TCCTTATAATAACCTGCAGTAAATCCGTCTGGACCTGGGGCCTTTCCTCTCTTTAGCTCTTTAATTACATCTTCTATTTCATCCTTTCCTATTGGAGTATTTAGTCGTTGTTTTTCCTCCGTTGGGATTTTCTGCACCCCTTTGTCCCTCAGAAATCTTTCTATTCTCCTTGAATTGGTTCTTTCCCTATTAGAATATAGTCTTCTATAATAGTTGTAAAACTCTCTCCTGATTTCTTTAGGATCTGTTCTCCCTTCTTCTCCCACCTTTATTTTATTTATTGTACTCCTTTCCTTCCTCTTTTTTATTTGCCAAGCAAGCCATTTGCCTGACTTATTTGCGAACTCGAAATTTTTTTGTCTTAATTTTTTAATGTTCCATTCCACCTCTCTATTTATTATTGTGGCGAATTGGGCTTGCAGTATTTTTATTCTTTCTTTTGCTTCCTGACAGTTAGGTTTTTGAGCTAATTTTTGTTCATTTGCCATTATCTGCTTCAAAATTTCCTCCCTCCCTTTCTCTCTGTTCTTATTTTTAATTGCATTTTGCTGGATAAAGTAACCTCTTATTACTGCCTTACTTGCATCCCACACCACATTAGCTTTTGTTCCCTTACCACTGTTTTCCGTAAAGTATTGCTTTAGTCTTTCCTGCACCCTCTCAACAATTTTTTGGTCTTCCAGAAGATAGTCCTTCAGTCTCCATCTAAAACTTCTAGGCTCTAGACTTTTTATTTCTAGCTCTATCGGATTATGATCTGAAATTACCCTTGATCTTATTTCTATTAGTTTAATTCTTGGACATAATTCGGTTGAGATCCATATCTGGTCGATTCGTGACATGGACTGATTGGGTTCCGAATGAAAGGTGAATTGTTTATCTAGTGGATGTTTGAGACGCCAGATATCTATCAAATTACTATTATCCACCATTGAAAAAAAAGATTTTGGTAGTCTCCCATTCTTACTTCCTCCTTCTCTACATCTATCCGCTTCTAGAGATAACACCCCGTTCAGATCGCCCATTAAGACAATTTTCTGATCGGCATATTCACATATTTTCTCTTCCAGTTTATTAAAGAATTCCGACTTACTGTCATTTGGGGCATATACCCCTATTACCACCAAATGTTCTCCTTGCCAATTAATGCGGACCCCTATTATCCTACCCTCTTCGTCTTTAAATATTGTTTTAGCTTCAATCTTATTTTTAATATATAGTACCACTCCTCTCTTCTTCTCAACCTAAAGCACCACTTTAGCTAATGGGGCCTCCAGCTGCCGCCGCGTCGCTGGAGCACGATTTCTGTTCTCATCCTGAAGCAAAGTTCTTAACCCGAGGTACTATTTCTGGGTTAGCGGAGTCTGTAACCTGAAGCGTATGTAACCTGAAGCGTATGTAACCCGAGGTACCACTGTACTGCAGATGGCTCCATAGCCCTTCCGCAATTATTTTGCATTTGTTTAGAAAGCCAGCACCCAGTTCAGTCTCTGTCGCTATATTCAGATTCCAGGTTGACAAGAGCTGTGAAAGGATGGTCTTTGATGAGAACAGAGAACTGCAGTCTAAAGGGGCCTGGTAGCTGCAGGTGCCGTAAGCTGGGCTGGCTGAATGGTGCAATTCTAGAGGAGTGAAGGGCAGATTCCTGTGGTTATTAGGAGTATTCAATACCCAGCTGCAGTTGCATCCAACTAAGTCCTACTCTGAGCAGACCCACTAAAATAAATGTGACTAACCTGAGTTCCTGAGAGTGAAGGCAGCTCTTTGTACCTGTGCTTGACTGTCTTACTCCCCGCCCCCCTTCTCCAGCCCTAGAATTGGGGGGGAGTATCCTGGTTACCCCCTCTTTTCCGCAGTGCCACCTTCGTAAAAGCAGCCCGAGTCACTGCCAGGCCTCTTCTTCCCTCCCTCCTCCCTCTCTGCCTCCAGCTAATGGCTGAATTCTTCAGTGGCTAATTATTCTTGCCGCTGCTGCATCCGTGAACTGACCTAATCCCTGCGGGTTCTCGACAGGAAGCTGAAATGGAATTTTAGCACCATGCCAAGACGCTTCCATTCCACCCCCCACTTTCTGTGCCCCCCCATCACGACATGCATTATTGCCTGACTCCCGGGAAAGGCAGAGACCATAAATCTACCTGCAGTTTTGTTCCAAACCACAGTCTTGGGGGACGGGCCTTGCCCCTCCCGATCTCCCTACTCTGTCTGCCCCCCTCCCAGTCATCCAACCACTGCTATTCCCCTCCCACCCACCCCCAATTCTCTGCCTACCTGCAGTTTCCAACACCCACGCCCTTTGGGGGAGTCCAGGCACACACAAAAGGAGCTTTGATTGACCTTGTTGACTAAAAAAAAAATAAAGGACCCTGCCAAAAGGCGGCCGGGAGGAGGAGGAAAAATTAACCCTTTAAACATCTCAATTCAGTGGCTGCATACACACCATAAAGTTAAAGCACATCCCCCACCCCCCCAAAAGAACAATGGGAACTGTAGTTTGCTTCTCACAGAGCTACCGTTCTCAGCCGTGTTAGCAAACTACAGTTTCCATGATTGGGGGGGGGCAGGGACAAAGTGTTTTATAGATAGGGCATATATACTATGTCTCCAATGGGCCTCCCCACTGCCTCCAAATCAAAGCCTTGAAGCAAGCTATTTGGCCACACAGAACACTTCTGAAAGGAGGGAATAATGGTATCTGATGTTAGCTGCCCTGAGCCCGACTTCGGCTGGGGAGGGCGGGATATAAATAAAAGTTCATTATTTATTATTATCATTAAAACAACACCAGTGTCTGGTTTGAAGGCTGTAGCAGCAGCAGCAGTAATTATTATTATTATTATTATTATTATTATTATTATTATTATTATTATTTCAACCATGCCCATCTGGCTAGGTTTCCCCAGCCACTCTGGGCGGCTTTCAACAGAACATTAAATACAGAATAAAACTTCAAACATTAAAAACTTTCCTAAACAGCTAAAGGTAGCAGGTTTGCTGAAGAACAGGGGTCGGCAAGGTTTACCTCGCCTGGGCCGGTTCACCCCAGCAGAGATCCCTCCGTGGGCCGGATCACTGTGCGCCCCCGCGATTTCTGGCATTGGTGTCTGCGCAGACGTGATTTCTGGCACCGCAAAAGCGAATCCCCATGCCATGCTGTTTAGTGCTGCATGCGGAGACTTGCCGAGCAGGCGGCTCGGTTCGGGGGCAGCTTGTGGGCCAGTTAAACGACCCCCGTGGGCCACTTGTGGCCCATGAGCCTTAGGTTGCCTACCCCTGCTGAAGAAGGTAAGCAGGCCTGGGGCTGGTCAACACCTGGATGAAAAGCTGTTTAGGAAACACATCTGCCCCCTCCAGTATCAAGAATACTGGGGTAGATGGACCTATGCTCTGATTGTGTCCATCTCCTACGCTCCTTTGTCATAAGGGAGGACAAAGAGGCAGAGCATCTGCTTTGCATGCAGAAAGTCTCAGGTTGAAACCCCAGCACCTCCAGGTAGGACTCGGAGAGACCCTTGCCTGAAACCTGAGAGATCTGCTGCCAGTCAGTGTTGGCATTACTTAGCTGACTCAACATAAGGTAGCTCTCTATTTTCCTATGTCTTAAGGGCCGTAGATCAGTGGCAGAGCATCAGCTTTGCACAAAGAAGGTCCCAGGTATAAATCCTGGTCTCTCCAGGCAGGTCTGGGAACGTTACTTTGCTGCAACCCTGGAGAACCACTGCCAGTCAGTGTTGATGCTACTGAGACGCAGTTCCCTATCTTCCTAAATGCAGTTCAGCTCTTGGGTTTGGAGGGAGGGGGGAATATGCACACACGAAAAGAAAATACCGTCCGGATTCTGGAAGCAAAGCAAACAACCGGAACTGAAATGGCCCACCTGTGATGGACAAGAGGGCCCATTTCAGATGCATCTTGCATTCTGCCTCCCCCCGTCCTCCGGCTCCACCAAAGTGATCTTTCAGCCAGTCATCTGGCTGATTTCCAGCCCACACAGAGCTGGTGAGGTTTCCTTGCTGACATGCAGAGCTGAAACCGGCCCCTACATCCACATTCCTGACAGATCTGTCTCCAGCATGTTTTGCCTGCTTTGGGGGTGGTTGTGGGGCAGGTCAAGCAAAGTACATCTCCCCCCCCCCCGTGCTCTCTCCCTTTCCCCCTCCCTCCCCCTCTCTCAGAGGCCTGCTCATTTTCAGTCAAGCTACACCAAGCACACCCCGGGGCACACAGGAAGAAGCAGCCACCCAAAAACCTTTGCCTGCCCAGATCCACTGCTGTGTGTATGCAGAAGGCCCCAGTGTTCAACCTGCAGTGGCATCTCCAAGTAAGGCTGCGAATGTCCCTGGAAAGCCACTGCCAGTCAGTGCTGGTAATACTGAGACAGGGGGCCTTTCCCAGCACTATCTGGAGATGCCAGTGACTGAACCTGCGGCGTCCTGCATGCAAAATAGGTGTGAAACTATGGTCTTCTTATCCTTTGGCTTCAGGATTCAAACCATGCTTAGGCCAAGTTAGACAGAAAACCCCGAGAAATTCCACGGCAAGGAAGCATCCAGTGACCCTCAAAGGGCCTCTGCCCTCATGGCTGTATCTCTAACTTCCAGCACTTTCCAAGAGCAGCAAGCATTTGCTAGAGGAGAGATCAGCTTGGTTGCTCCCCCCCCCAACTTTGTGTTGTGCCAAATTACTCCTGGTCGCTGTGGGCCACTGCCTAGGAACCTTTTTCTTTTTTTGTCAACCAGAGTGGGGTAAACATGCTTAAAACAAACAAATGAGCAAACTGGGTCCTAGTCCGCTGTCAAGATTCACACCAGCCCTCGATTCCGATTCTGATCTACCAGTGATCCATACCCTGCATGTGCTACTTACACCCTCAAGTAGTTCAAGGAACCCCCACCTGCCAGCATGCCAAAACAAATTTCAGCTGGGTGGGCAGGTGCCAGAAAAGGAAGTGGCTAGATGGGTGGGGAAGAGACACAGGCCCCATAAAGGTTGCAATCTACCTCTCGGTGAAGTGTGAATCCCGGTGCTGAGGGAGCCCCTGCTTCCTCCGCTGGCTGGATGAGTTGCTGGCAGAAGGGAGATGTGCTTCCATGGTGCTGGGGTTGCGCACTGCGGCGGCTGCCACTTCTTGTCGTGCCCGGAGGAGATCTGTGAAGGGAGGAGGAGAAAGCCCTAAGTAAGCTGGTGTGCTAGATGGGAACCCCAACCCTGCCCGGATGTCAACTGGCTTCACTGCTTCCTGGCATGTGATGAAGAGTCTCTGAACATACGCAAAGTATTTTATGTCTGCATGGGAAGCTGCCTTTCACCTAGCCAAGACCATTGGTACATCTAGCTTAGTTTTGTCTGCACGGATTGGCAGCAGTTCTCCGTGGGTTTTGGATCAGTCCAGTCTGGATATCTATTACATGGCAGTTATAGATTTGCTTGATCATTTGCACGTCTAAATGGTGCAAATAAAGATAAACCATAAGGGGAAATAGCTCCTTCGACCAAACATAGACCTTAAAACGCCTGCTGGAGTAAGGAAATCTTTCTAATGCGCCTGTGGTTGAGCCAGGAGGGCGCCTGCCTAATCTCAGTCAGGAAGAGGTTCAACGGGCTTCGGCCTGTCGCACTGAGATGCAGAGGACTGAACCTGGTGCCCTTCTGCATGCAAAGCAGATGCTCCAACGCTGAGTTTTATGGCTCTTTGCCACACAATTAGGCTGCCTTCAAATCTGGAAGCAGGGACAAGCGCCTGCAGAGCAGATAGGGAGCAGCTGCCAGGCCAGCTTTGAGCCCCAGCACCTATTGCAACTGGCTCTCCTCCCCACCACCCATTTGACAACTGTTGTTGGGTCCCCCGTCCCCCCGCAGCATTCACTTTGCCACCAAACAAGCTGTTTCTGCACTCATGGAAAACAACCTCCCACCCCACCCAAAAGCGCCTCATGTGCTTGGAGTGCATCTCAAATTTTGTTCTTTTCCTCCCCTCTTCCTTCCTGGCAAGACAGGGGAGGGCGGGGGGGGGGAGCCCTGCAAATCTCTAACATCTGCAGCTGCTGAGAGATTAAACAGAAGGTGATGGAGGCTGAAGAAAAAAGGAAGAAAATAGAAAAGAACACAGCCATCGCCCCCAGCCCCGGGGAAGGGAGCCAGTACCCTAAAGCCTCCACCTTCCATCCTAGATCATGAAAAGCATCCGTCATGGAGTGCTGCAAGGCAGCTGGAAGATGCCCCAAGGCACAGCCCAGCCACCCACACCACCGCCCATGCTACTCCCAATCTATCCTGCTTTATGCGAAAAAAATTTAAATCCTCTGACCCTCTCACTTCCATTTCCAACCTTGCAAAGATAGGGGACCTTTGCAGAAATTCTTGTACCATCCTCTCCCCAGTTCCCCATGGCTCTTTCTTGGCCAGTTCTCCATTCTGTCTCCCTAGTTGCTGCAACCCCTCTCCCCTCCCCCACAAGAAACTGCATCTCCAGTGCTCTCTTTCAAGAGCCCTAATGGGAATCAGGCTCCTTCAGAGCATTAAAGGGGATTAGCTCTTAAGAGAGAATTAGTGGACAACAGTGAAGAGAATCCTTCCCGTCAACACTCAGGTGCAGGGAGAGAAGCAGGGGTGGGGGAATCTCCAGCCAGAGCAATCCAGCTGTTGTCTACTGGCTGAAATAGGAGCACTCAAAAGTTCCCTGCCTAAACAGGGGCCTTTAAAACCCGAGAGCAAACTGTGCAACTAAACTAAACCAAGGATGAGGGTGTCTGTGCTTGGCAGAGAAAAGAACAAGTCACTTTGTTGCTCTGTCTGCACTCCCCCCACCCCAAAAGCCATCCAACCATTGCTAAGCTTCTCAGAGCAAGAAGTTTGGACACTGCAGAGCTCCTGGCCCCCAGCAAGTGGTGCATGGAAGCTGGATAGGTGGAAAGAAGGCATCAACTAACTAATCCATCAGTCAAAACAAAAAAAATTCCTTCCAGTAGCACCTTAAAGACCAACTAAGTTAGTTCTTGGTATGAGCTTTCGTGTGCATGACCAACTAACTTAGTTGGTCTTTAAGGTGCTACTGGAAGGAATTTTTTTTGTTTTGACTATGGCAGACCAACACGGCTACCTATCTGTAACTAATCCATCAGTGTTTTCTTATACAACCACACTCGTTAAAGAATCAATCAGTTGTTCAATAATTTTTTGTTATTGGGCATTCATGATGCTTTGCTCTCACTATGACATTGGGGCGGTTACAAGTGCCCCCTGCTTTTTATGCTTTGCATCTACAGATGTTTTGGGGCAGACACTCTACTTCTTTTCCAATCAGGGCATGTCCTGTAACGTCTTGCAGAAATCCTTTTCAGGCGTCAAATGCTCCTGTTTGATTTCATGTCCTGCTTTTGTTGTGCTATAGAGCAGTGTTTCCCAACCGGTGTTCCGCGGCACACTACTGTGCCGTGAGACATTGGCTGGTGTGCCGTGGGAAGGAGGCGGGCGAGTCGGGCGGTGAGAGGCGGCGGCGGCGAGGATCCGCGTCGAGCCGGGGCGGCTTCGCGGTGGTGGTGCCGAGCGGCGGGGCAGCGCGTGCAAAAGGGAGGAGCGCGAGACAGCGGAGGAGGAGGAGGCCGGCATGTCCGGGCAGCAGCAGCAACAACAGCAGCAGCAACTCCCGGCGACGGCTCCTCAAGCCCCGCCGCCGCCCCCTCCTCCGCCCGCTATCGCCGCCACCACCACCACAGCCGCCGCCGCCTCAGTTGCCGCCGTCCCTCAGTCCCTCGCTCTGCTGCCTCCTCCCACCCCCAAAGCTTGGAGGTTCCCCGGCAAGGGGGAGGGAAAAAACTTTCACTTTCGTGCGTCCCTCCCGGCGTGACGCTGCGCGCTGACGTCACGGGGCGGGGCTTTAATGGTGGTGTGCCGCGAGATTTTTTTTCAGTAAACAGGTGTGCCGTTGCCCAAAAAAGTTTGGGAAACACTGCTATAGAGCAAGAGCACCCACCCAGATGGGAATAATGCATCCACATTGGGGGAAAGCCTAATTAATCAGAGCAACATGCAGTATGAATCCATCACTAATTTACTATTATCACGTTAATGATATGTTGCAAAACACAACTGTGACAACCCTGCTCCAGGTTGCAGGCAACTCCCTTTTATGGAGAGTAACCCTACTGAAAATAACGGGCCTAAATTACTTGTGTACATTACTTCCAACAGGTCTAAGAATGTAAGAAGAGCCCTGCAGGATCAGGCCAATGGCCCATCTAGTCCAGCCTCCTGTACTCACAGTGGCCAACCAGATGCCCGTGGGAAACTCTCAAGCAAGACCTGAATGCAAGAGCCCTCTCCCATCCTGTGGTTTCCAGCAACTGGTATTCAGAAATTATGACCTCTACTTTGAGGGTCTACTAACATGGGATGCAACCCCTGTCTGGAGTAAGCCCCCAAAGAAAAAGCTTCTGCTGAGCTTTGCAGGAAGACTGCGATCCTCGTTCTACACTGGGAAGATGGGCTGGAGCTAGAACAGTTGTTTTGACAACACAGGTCCTACAACCCAAACATGCGTTCCATCAGGGGTTTTCCTGCTAGACCATAAAGTTGAGAGCCATTGTTGAGAGACTGATGCTCATGCTGTGAGGTCCACCCGGTTGGCTTCTTGCATCAAGTGAACATGGTAGGAAATGTCCAACCTGGAGGGACAGGACACCTGCTTTTCCCCCTGGGGTTTTTCCCTTTACACCTGGATGGGCACTCAAGCACTCAGACCCAAGTGGAGTCGCCTTCTGGGACACATCCACTTATTTTTTAAAACTGTAATCTTTTAAAAAGCAGTAAGCCTTAAGTTTGGCATCGCGGCTAAGGGAGACCAAGCGCTAACTCAGGAAGTCAACAGAGTCACAGTTAACTTATGGAACACTCTGCCAAAAGGTGCAGCAATGGCTGCCAGCCAGGATGGCTTTAAAAGGGGAAACTAGCCCAGTTCACAGCCATTGGCAATGAGGGATAAATCGAACGTTCACATTCAAGAGACAGGAGGTCACTGAATACCAATGGAGAAGGGCTATGGCTGAAACTCCAGAGCAGCCACTCATGCAGAGACACGGCAGGCAGCCTCCTTTCTGTTTCCCCAGCTCCCAGGAGCCTTTGGTCCAGGGATGGAGAACCTGTAGCTCTCCATATATTGGTGGGACCCTCAACTCCCATCATCCTTGACCACTGCTCATGCTGGCTGTTGGCTGATAACGCTGGGGAGTCCAACAACATCTCTAGGGCAACAAGTTTCCCCATTCCACTTTTCTTTCGGCCTCTGCAATTGGGGGGGGGCAGCAGTGGGTTGATACCACCACCGTCCTCCCTGTGCTGCAAAGATTCCCAAGACAGTGGTATGTGAAACAAGCCTGAACACACTTTAGGCCGTGCATAAATGCCAAGCACGGTCATTTCTTAGCCATGCTGCCTCAATGCCAGGATCCCCCAGGTGTCAAGTGATGGAGGTTTGGCTCAGTGGAGGCTGGTCCATTAGAGGAAATGGGGCACCAGCCACCATTAGGTTCAAGTGTTTGTGGAGCTAAAAGGCAACCGTCTCCAACTCCACCTATGCAGGAAGCAGCCTATTGGTTCTCCCTCCCTTGCTCCAGCCTGGCAGGGTTATAAAAGCTTCCAGGGTCAGACTTGGGCCTTTGCCCAGGCCACAGACAACCAAGCTCTGAACCTTTCTGTCTGCTTGCCTCAACTGGCCGGCACCTACCTCCTTGCTTGTCTTGCAGACTTGCGCTGCTGGCTCAACCGCTTTCCTACAGCCGGACACCACCTCAGCCACCAAGACTTCCTTTCAAGTCCTTCTCGGCTGCTCTCTCCCCTCCTGCGCGCCCTCTGAGCAGAGGATGCAGCCGGAGCGGCTGGTAATAACTCACCCATCTGCTGGGGTTTCTCTCTCTTCACTCCTCGCCCCCCGCCGCCCCAATGCAACAGCTTGCCTTTGCTTGCTCTAGTAGCTCAGCCTGGCTGGGATTTATTTATATCCCAGCAGCCCTGGCCGTCTATATATCGCTCTTGCCACGCTAAGTCTGCCTTGACCAATGTCCGTCTGCACCATCCCTGGAGCTCGGCTTCCGAGCTGCAAGGCTCTTTGGGGCGGGGAAAGGGAGAAAGAGGAGAGGAGAGAGAGAGACAGG